CTTACTAAATTATTATTAAGTAAAAATAAAAATTAACGTCATAATGAAGTTCATGATATCATTATTACAGAGCTGCTGTAATTTTTCTGTGCGCTTTTTTTTTTTTTTTTTTTTTTTTTAACATGTTTGCTAATCGCCTTGAAGCTTAAGCGAAAGAAAGCTCTTTGTATTATTGCATTGCATTATGCTGTCATGCCCCATTAGCCCCACCCAGGCCCGCCCAGCCGCCCAGCCGCCCAGCCATCCACTGAAGTCAAACAGAGAGAGGCCAGCGAACGAGGCATATTCAAATTGAAAAGTAAGCAAGCTAAACGTTTACCAAACTTTGTCGCCCTGCCACCCGCCCTCCTCCTCCTGCTGCCACTCCTTCGCCTCATTCTTCTGCTGCTCCGCCTACCAATGTCTGTGGCCTTGAGGCTTGGCAACTCTTTTGTGTGAGCTCCTTTCTGGCAACCGGCCCGCTCCACTCGCCCGCCTGACCCAGAGGAGACGTGTGCATGAATATGATGTCAGTCACCTGAGGTACACTCAGCTAACTCGATGGCTCCGTCTCCATTCAGCTCCGTACCGCTGGCCATTTTGAGGGGGGCTTTAGAAGCGGAGGCGTGGTCCGTTTAGCCAGAAGATCTGCAGCTTGAAAGGTGTGCACATACACACACACAACCACACACATACACATGTGTATATGCAAATATCTAGCTGATTGCCTGCACCTTCGCAGCTAAAGAGAAAACATTTCATTTGACACCATATTAAGTGAATGTTGCGAGGGTAGCTCGAAGCTATGTGTATGTTGAGGTAAAGAAGGGATGTGTAAAATATATTTGATAAATGTTACATAGTTGAATGAACTAATACACCCCATTGCAAACGTCGAATGAGTATGGATACATCATATTATTCTCATATTCTATTGTACTCCTTAAGCAGCCCTCGTCCGTGTCCGTGTGCCTCCTCAAATATTTGCTCAAGTATATGCATCAAGCCCAATGAAGCGACACCGCGTAACCGTCGCCGCCTTTGTCATTGCGTGGGCGCTGCTCGTCCGGGCTGGCCGGCAGCGACTACACCTGCCTTTCACCTGCGCCACTCGGCTAGTCGTGGGCATATGATGGCAGCTATGGCATTATTCGATTATTTGTGCGCAGCAGCATCATTTCGTTTGCTTTCCGGTTGTTTTCCTTTTTAGCCTTGTGCGAGTGGCTCCTGGACTCGAGTCGAGTTGCTCTTTGACTATGCCACGCGGAGACGTCATATTTCCTTTTTGTTGCGCCACCTTTATTTTTCGTACTATTTTCCTTTGGTTCTCTTTCATTTTGTTGCCGTTGCTGTTGTTGTTGTTCTTGTATTTTTTTGCTATTTTTCATTGCGCTTTGCTTGGCGCACTTGTCGAGTCGTTCACCGTTGGAAAAGTTTAGCGAGCTTAGCGCTGGGCGCGCCAGCTTGCCTCGGATTTCATTTCCGGCATGTTGCGGTTACGTTAAGTAACGGAGATTGCATCGCTAATGATGCAATTGTGTTTAGCGGAAATGAAAGCGGTTTCGTGTGACGCCTTGCCAGCCCACAAGCCGACCACTAAACACACACACACACACACGCACACACGAACACGCACACACGAGGCAGACGAGCTCTCAAGAATTGGATGCTAGTCAGGCATCTAAAAGCCAATCAAGTTTAAGAAAACTGTAAATGAAGTGCCTGAGGAAAAGAAATGAAAAACTATTCACCTATTAATTGGATTTGTGGTAGCCAACGGAGATGCATGACTGACTGAATAAATGACTGAGGCAGTGGCTGACTGATGGAATCCTACTGACTCTGAATGAATGAAGCGTAGATGGGCTTATTAGTTGGCAGATTGACTGAGACTGGCTCGCAGAGATTGACTGACTGAATGGTTGACTGACTACCTGACGGAATGAATCTGGACTGAATTAGTCTGATTGACTTACTGACTCTGGCTGACCAACTCTAATAGACTGATTGACTTTGACTAACTAATTGGCTCTGATTGACTCTGATTGAATGCCTGACTCGACTGATTAAGCGTGACTGATCGATTGACCGATTTGATATGACTAATGGGTTAATGGACTGACACTCATTTACCTACTGAGTGTGCAACTGCACTGAGCATGTCTGCCTGACTGGGATTGACAAGCTGATTGACTGATTAATTGATTGATTGATTGACATTAACTGAGTCTGACAGAATTTTACTTACTTACTGGCTCTGATCGACTGACTTTGAGCGATACACTGACTAAGTATTAAGCCGAGTGACTCTGATTGAGTATCTATAACTCTAATTGACTATGATTGATAGCCTGATTGACATGACTTATGACTTACAAAGAACGGTAGAGCAAGACAAGTAATAGAGAATGTATGGAAATTGTAGTAGGCTTCTCTGCTCACTTCGAGTACTTCCAAACACTTCAATTCAGCACAAATTTCGACTGGCAAAGAATTCGTAATTTTTTTTTTTTTTCAGGCTAAAACTCAATAGCAAAATTCTTTGGAAGCATCGCATGTTACCATGTCGAATCCGCATTGTAAAACGCCCAGCGGACAGTCGCCACAAAATGATTTAGTGAATACGCCAGAGCATTTCCATCCCGGATACTGCGGACAACCGCGTAAATATGATCCCCGGGAGTTTGGTTTGACCGGCAACGAGGAATGGCGTAATCCCCGCATGTTTCGCAACATGACATGTCCGTAGAGCTGCTTAGAGTATTCCGAACCAAACTGACCATTCCAAACGATTTTTAGATCAAACTGACGCTGAGGCAATGAATGCGATGCGGATGGCCCAACCGCGTAGACCCATGTATCGTCCAACTGAAACTTCCATTGTGAACAATTTAACAGACGAATGTTTGGCTGATGTCTCGGCGCCGCAGTTCGAAATGAGTATGCCATCGCCAATGTCTGGTTCGTGTGGAGAATACCTGGATAATGTAACACCGCCACAATTGTGCACCACGGCAGACTCGAGTGTGAGTGAAAAAGATAGCAATAACTGTTCGGGTAGCATACAGCAGAGGGTTGTGCATGATTTTAGCCAGCTGAGCGCTTGCGACTATGATCTATTGCCAGCAGGGAATTGCCGAGATCCAGATCAAAATTCAATGCCCGATCAAAAGTTCGACAAATGCAGCACAGAAAAGGTAACAATAGTACAAAAGTTACCCCCAAAGCTAAGGGTACATTGACTTTTTGTCAATGTGTCTAACCGAGAGAGAGAAATAGTAAGGCAGAGAGAGGGAGGGAGAGAGAGAGAGAGAGAGAAGGTGCTCACAATTCACAAATCTGTCATGTCCGTCCGTGTTGTGTGAACTAGCATTTGAACTTTAGAGATCAGCTTTTGGCGGGTATCTTCTAGTCGGTCAGTGCCGACTAGAGACTTTCGCAATTTACTAGTTGACATTCACTTTAAATAAAAGTAAAAATCCTTTGGCACACAGAATAATAATATCTTAACTACCACGGTTCGCACAATTACGACGCAACGGGATCAATCCGGAAAGGTGACAAGTCGTGTTGAGGAGACGAGCACGGTATCCAATGATCAAGGGGCTAATTTGGATAACACCCCTGTGTGCTGTCCAGGACAGGGTCCTGCAGCCGGACGACATCTTCAATTTTGCAATATGCCAGATCAGAGCGAGAACTTAGCAGACATCTCAATGCCCCCATTCTATGACAATAGCCACCCAGCGATGAGCACTCGTATAGCTCAGAGGTCGATGGATCAAAGTGCTTGCCTCGAAAATATCAGTGCGCCCTCCTTCGCCGACAGCAATCTGGCAGACGTATCCATGCCGAGTGGCATTTGTGGTGCGAATGGTGACTCGATCCGGCAGCCAACGCAATATACCAATGAATGCTTGAACAATGTCTCGATGCCAAGCTGTATGGGATCTTCTGGTGCATCGCGACGACAAGTTACCCAGATGTCGCATGATCGCTTGGAAGATATATCAATGCCTTCATTTGGCAACGTGTCCAGAGTACCGAATAGGCAAGCAGGCTATATGACCAGTGAATGCTTAAACGACGTCAGTGCTCCGTCGTTTGGATCTAGTCCTGCTCGCAGTAGAGTGTATCGCAGCCAACCAAGATCGATGCTAGCACAGAGTAATTTAAACTCAACAGTTCTGGACGACATCAGTATGCCCTCCTTCGAGGGGACATCATGTGCTACAGCTAGATCAATGCAGCAACGTTCGATGAAATCGCAGAATATTTGTGACACATCAGCCCCATCGTACGTATCGTATGGACAGGGTCCAGGTTCTGGTGAATGCTTGGAGAACATATCAATGCCAATGTATGGCTACAGTGGACGAGCACAAATGACAAATGAATGTTTGGAGGAAGTCACGATGCCATCGTTTGAATGTTCCACAAATAATCAGTTCATTGAAGATATTAGTATGCCGACATTTGGTGGAGTATCGTATGCATCCCAAGGGCGAACACCGACACGTCAACAGTATTCGATGCCGGCGAAATCGATGTGCTGCTCAATGGAGCCGTGCTTTCAAAACGATCAACAAGAATATTTAGATCAAGTAACTATGCCGTCCTTTGGAAACTCTACACGAGGACCGATGCCCAGTGAGTGTTTGACAGATATCAGCATGCCTTCTTTTGGCGGGGTATCCGGTGCATCGAGAGGTAGAACACCGTCGTGTCAACAGCGCTCGATGGCAGCCCAAAATATGTGTAATATATCAGGCCCAATATATGAAAGTAGCCGAGTGGGACAAATGACTAATGAATGCTTAGATGACGTCACCCAACCCTCCTATGGAAACAGCGGTAGAGAGGTGTCTTATAGCCAGTTTATAGAGGAAATGAGTATGCCGTCGTTTGGTGGAGTGTCTGGAGCTTCAAGGCCCAGAACTCCAACACGGCAGCAACAGCAATCAATGGCTTCTCAAAATATCTGTGATATATCTGCACCGTCCTTTGCTGGCAGTGGACGTGGAACAATCAGTAACGAATACTCGGGTAAAGAGGTTTGTTATAGTCCGTGCTTGGAAGAAGAGAGTATGCCCTCTTTCGGTGGAGTGTCAGGAGTTTCAAGGCCCAGGACTCCAACACGACAGCAACAGCAATCAATGGCTTCTCAAAATATCTGTGATGTATCGGCACCGTCTTTTGCCAGCAGTGGACGCCA